TCTTCAGGCCGCCGGTACCATTCGTTACAAAATACCTGGATGCATTGGCAGAGATGCTACCTGCTGCACCTATGGTAAGCGTGTAGTTGCCCAGAAAAACGAGCTGGTTGGTCAGGATGTTTGCGCTTCCGTTGACTAGAACATCCCCTGCAAGCACCTTGTTCCCGGTACCGTTAAATTGCACATTAAAGTAAGTGCCGGCAGCAATAGGCTGGTTGGCAATAGTACCGTTAAAATTAACGGTAGCATTTGTTGCGGTAGCATTTAGCGTACCACCTGCATTGGTAATGCTACCCGCTACCCCAATGGAATTAGCGGCGGCGACGGTCAGCGTTCCCCCCGTGTTCAGCGTGACATTGTGCACATTGGCGACGGTGCTGATCGTAGGCTGGTTGGTTGCCGTGCCGATCACGACGTCTGTTTGGGCATCAGGTACAACGTTGCAGGACCAGTTGCCAGCAACGTTCCAGTTGGTACTCGTCGTACCGGTCCAGGTACTGCGGAAAGTCAGTATAGCGGCATTACTACTTGTTGTACCACAGGCGTTGGTAGCATTGAGGCGGAATTGGTATCCATACATAGATGTCGGCGCACCGGTAATGGTCAGGCTACCTGTAGAAGAATTTGAATAGATTCCCCCATCCGTTATGTCAGCGAAGCCGCTGCCGTTATCGACCTGCCATTTGTAAGTAACCGTTCCCCCGGTTGCAGAGGCTGATAGGATGGTATTGCCACCAGGACAGATTGCCGCATCAGATGGGTTGGCACCGATTGTGGACAAACCATTGGAAACGTTTAGAACCGCTTGTTCGGAGGTGGTGGTCCCACTACTATTGATCGCCTCGGCACGGTAGATATAACCATTGGCAGAAGCCGGCACGCTGCTCATGGTCAGCGTGGCCGTGGTGGCCCCGGAATAAACACCTGCATTGGGGATCTCCGTAAAGTTTCCAGCGCCGATCTTCACATACCACTTATAGGAAGTGGCAGTGGCAGAGGTAATGGAAAATGAGGTCCCACTGCCAGCACATACCTTGACATCGCTTGGCTGCGCAGAAATAGCTGGACCAGATGCCAAATAGGTACAGCTGTTACCTACGGCAAGCGTTTCGGAAGTGGTGGTGATAAATGTCCAGTTCGAATTGTCGAGCACGGCCGTACGAAGGGCAGAGGCACTGGCGTATTTTGTAGTAGGGCAGTTGAACTTTCCGCAAATCCTGGCCACACCACCAGTCAGCCCAGCCCACATAGCTGCATTGGAATTGGATAGTCCAGGAGGCATCGTACTTCCCGAAACACCTGTTACAGTGGCGCAGGTACCGACGATATCCCAATAGGCAGTAGTAGTGTTACTGGAGCAATTGTTCCAATGTATCCCAGCGATGGCAACTGCATTTGTATTGAGCGTTCCCGTATAGGCGATGACCTGGTCTAGTCCGGTTAGGCTAAGGCCCAAGGTGCCCGTAAGTGCGGTCACCGAACCAGCGGGCAGCGTATTGTTTTCGTTTAGGATGGCGACGGTTAGCCCAGTTATCTTAACTTCGGTTCCGATGGGCAGTATACTGGCTCCGGAAATCCATCGGATAGTCGTTTCCGAAGAACCATTATCCGCATTATAACTGGACCCACCATAACCGCGGTCTGTAAAGTTGATGGTCGTGCCAGCAGGCAGTGGGTTAAGGACGACAAAAGTAAAGAAGTCTGTTCCGGCTGTTCCTTTGGTATCATAGCCGGTAAATAGGATATCCCCGACTGCCTGGGCATAGGCATGGGTTGTGCCGCAGATGAAAAGCACGGCAAGCATAAAAAGCTGTTTAAA